ACACCAGCACCACCAGTCTCCTCCACTCCAGCCACTGCCAATGTGGGCTATGGGCATGGCCCACAATGCTGGGGTCCAAATGCACGAGACCCCAGGCTTGGGCAGGTAGCACCAAGGCTTTGGTGGCCACCTATCTCACTGAGGATGTGGAGCCACTGGACTGCGACCCCTTGGCCTACTGGGCAAACTGCAGCCAGATGTGACAGGATCTAGCCACGGTTGCCTGGCAACATCTGTTCTGTCCACCCACCAGTGTTCCAAGCAAAAGGGTGTTCAGCATTGCTGGGGATGTTGTCACACCCCACCACACCTGCTTGGATCCTACATTGCTGGAGCAGCTGGTGTTCCTAAAGGTGAAGCTCCCGCTATTGGGATTCCCCAAACTCCCCTTCTATGGACTGAGTGCCACCCTCCTCACTCCATCTGTACCAATTTCCTTTTTTGATTTTTTTTAAAAGCTGAGTAATGCCCCACTCTCACCTGGACGGGGCACTAACTGCATCACTACCCAGCAGGGGAAGAACATGTCCCTGCTGAGCTCATTCCCTTGCCAGGATGAACTTGGAGGTATGGGATTGGGGCTATGGGGAAAGAGGAGGCCTGAGGTCCTAGGTATGACCACTAAAACTGCACCTTGCCAGGGTAGGGAGGCCTGGTGGGACCGCTGGTGGCGCGGCAGCCCCATAAATGCCAGGACCAACAATCCCCTGGTGAAAGGTGGGTAGAAGGCGCCATATACTCCAGCTAATGCATGCATGCACAAAGTCCTGGCTGGGGAACACCCAGACCTGTCATGTCTTTGACAGGCCTGATGCTTGCTGGTTGCAGTGCAGTTGTGAGGCTCCCAGTGAGCTCACCTTAGCTGCCCAGGATGCCAGCTTTAGGGTTGAAAACCTCTTTGTCAGGCTGAGGAAGTACCTGCAGTTGGTCCTGGATGGAAGGAATAGTAAAGAAGCCAGATGGAGGTGTTGGGGGGCAGTGGGGGGACAGGTTAGGTGGGGAGTAGGGGAGAAAGGGGGATGTAGCAGCTCAGGTAAAAGTGCAGAGGTGCCTGGGGTGTCAGATGTCTGGCAGGTCGCAGTGTGCCAGAACTCCACTGTGTATACTGAATCCGTGAGTTTCTGTACCTATTACCTAGGAGACTGATGAAGTGCAGTTCATAGGCCCAGCTCTGAAAAGTGGTTTGCATTGTAATTTGTTCCCTCTTGGGATCCGACCTGAGAGACTGGAGGCAGAGGGTTTTTTTGGTGAGGAATGTGCCCCCACAGTTCGTTGGGCTTTGTCTTTTTTTGATAGATTCTGCTATGCAGTTTGTGGGGGTACTGGAGATAGTTGGCAGGTTTTGTGTTTTGAGCTGTAGGAAGTTGTCTTCAGTTCTGGTGATGAGGTGAGGTGCTTGTCTTAATGTAGAAACCACTTTTCAGAGCTGGGCCTATGAACTGCACTTCATCAGTCTCCTAGGTAATAGGTACAGAAACTCATGGACTCAATGTAGACACTGACAGTGGAATTCTGGCACACTGCGACCTGCCAGACATCTGACACCCCAGGTACCCCTGCACTTTTACCTGGCTGCTACATCTCCCTTCCCCCCTACCCTCCACCCCAGCTTGTCCCTCACCCCAGATATCTCCATTTCCATTTTTACTGACTGGCTTTCTTGCCTGCATTGTGGGCCAGGCCAGCCTCTAGCTTCTTTACTATTCCTTCCATCCAGGAGCAACTGCAGGTACAACCTCAGCCTGACAAAGGGGTTTTCAACTCTAAAGCTTCCAAAGACACATTTTTTTTAAGTACTCCTTTTTTTTCATAGTACACATATAGACATAAAAACACAAGATAAGCCATCACACACCATGAATAACATCATATGTCCAACATAACACAGCACAACACAACACCTTTACTTCTTGCTTTCAATTCCTTTATAAAAAGAAAGGCTCTGTGACAGTTCCACTTGGGTACCTTTGATGCTGATGCTACTGGTGTTGAGACAGCTAATTTATTTTACATGTAAAGCAGAGGATCAGGCCTGAGGCTGTAGGGGTGGAGGAGACCTCACTGGGGCGCACTGCTGTGTTGTGCAAAGGCCCCAGTGCCAGGAAGGGTGCACCTTAACACACACACAGTGTCACTCACGCACCCACATCACAGGTTTTGCCTGTCAGCAGCTTGGTGTGCAGGGCCTCGGATGACAGACTCCCCCAGCAAAACACACACATCTGCCAGGCTTTGTGGCCTGGCAGAGCCCAGAACTCAGGCCTGCACTGGATTTAACCCCGCTGTGCCCCAAGACAGATGCAGTAGTCGCCCAAGCACCCACCCACATGGCAAGTTTTGCCTGTCAGCAGCTTGGGGTGAAGTTCCCCCCAAACCCCTACATTGGTCTTCTTGAAACTTGGCAGACTTCATGCTCTCAGTAGAGGCTACCACTCCTCAAGTTGCACCCAAATTGAAGCTAAAATAAAAAAGTTATAAATATTTCATTCATCCCCCATTATAACCTATAGCTGGATCTCCGAGGTGGCTCTGGAGCTTCAGAGCTGCTTTGGCCAGATCGAAGTGGAGGAGGTTAGATAGGCATCTGGCTGGAGTCATCTGAAACCAGGACTCTTTCCTACCTATGCTGGGGGTCAGACTTGATGGCTTACTGAGGTTCCTTCTGACCCTAACATCTATTAATCTATAAGTGGCAAACCGATCCGGAGCTCCAGATTGGATTGCGGCCATCCGAAGCAGCCGGATCCAAAGCTGGATTGGATTTCTGTCAACTCGCACAGGCCTAATGGGTGACTTTCCCGCTCCATAGATTGTTCACAAGGCAGTTATCCATTAGTCAGGTAGTTTGCACAAACTCCACAGATGCTTTTCAGCACCTTACAAAAGGTAGCAGAAAGAGAAAAGAAACATTCTGAGAAAGAGGGATGTTCCTGTAAGACCCACACATCTTGTTGGACAAACCCCTTATCACTATTACTTAAAGAAAACAGCCAAGAACTCTGGGAAGGGGATCTGGCCTCACAATGGTTTACTGATGCATGTTGAATCAAAGACGACAAGGTTCTTTGGGTAAATCTGAAAGAACTCTTTTATTAGTCCAACTCAAATAGCTGGAAAAATTCTAATAAAAAGATTGAATTCTAATTTAATCTAATTCATTTTTTTTAAACATTGAATAAAAGCAGCACTTATTTGACTAAGTGTCACACTTGTTTCTATGGCTTTATCAGGGTAAAATATCCACTCCCTACAGAAGTACATATGTGGGGCATCTTTACACATGCTCTTGGGTGGAGGGGTGGGCGCTTTAATTTTACTGGCTTTAATTTGACTGGCTCCAAGAGCTGTTCTAATTAACGCGCCTGCAGCATCATGTGTTTTCAACATCCCACACTTTGAAATGGTGGCAGGGCAGCTTTGAATCACCCTTGCCACCATTTTGAGGCATGGTGATGCTGAATACACATGATGCAAAGGCTGCTTCAGCAAACTCGATTAATCAAGTCTGCTCTAAAACATGCTAATTAGCACATGACAGAGCAGACATCCAACATGTGTGTAGGTGCTCGTACTGGTTAGGCAGCAAGGGACGCAACTTTCCAGCCACTCTGAGATTGGATGCCCAGATTTTTCTTAAAGGGCCTTGGCTGGAGACCAGTCACTGTTGGCAATCAGACAAAGCAGTGAAAAAGCCAGCCTAAAGCAGCCATCTTTAGCAGCCAGCTATGGAGAAGCCAGCCTGAAGCACAGGAGGCAAAGGAGAAGTTTTGCTCCCCAAACTACCTGCCTCAACTTCAATCCCCAGGAGCTACAGGCCAGAAATAGTGATTGTGAATCAGGGTCATCTATCTAAATATGGGATCTGGGCATTAGTCAAACAACTTCTACGTATATTTTAATATTGTAATTTATATGTTTATGTTTCCCCCTTAGCCCTAATACTGTAGAATAGTATACAGAGTTAGCCCAATCCAATTCTCATTTAAAGTCAACACAAAGTTTTCTATTGACTTCACTGAGAACCGGATGAATCACACTTGATTATTTTTTGTCAAATAAATAGTACCATATGAAATGTGTATATTTTAGAATACTTTACACAATATTTTTTTCCAAAGGTCAGAACTTGCTTAGCTAAAACAAGGTTACAGGAGAAATATTAATTTAAAACACTGCATATTATACAAGTTGTTCTCTTGATTATGTAGTGGCAATTTGTAAAATTATATCCTTTTTAATGGATGCATCTGCTAGAGCCGTCCAATCCTGGTACCATTATAGGTATTTTTTTGCTCTTTATTGGGCTCCTCTATGGGTTCAGTGATTCATTAATCAGCAGCCTCAAAAAAACCCCAAGAGTAGCCCAATATAACTGCATGGTACTGCATAGGAAACTGTTGACTCTTTACAACATTGCATGAAAAGAATTAAACTAATGGATTCACTGCTTGCAGAGACTATAATTTCAAATGCTAACATGAAAACTGAAGGTGTGCTAACACTGTCCAAGCATTGTCTGAATTGTGAGTATTGGGTGGAAATCAAGAAATATTTCTCTCTCGCTTTTTGGGTTGGGGTAAAGTAGAGTAAGGATTAAGATGGAATTACCTCATTTAATTTACCTTTATTGGGGGAAAAATGGGGGAAAAGACCAAAAAAACAATCTTATGTAATGGAAAGTCTGCTTGTTATATTTAAACTATATGCTGCTTAAAGCTGAAAAAGGAATTTTCAGCAGTGAATTTACTTATTGCTTCACCTGTTTGGAAGAAATTTACTGATTTCATAAAAATAAACATAAGAATGTATAATTCCAGATTGTTATTAGTGGATATACCTAATTTACTCTAACATATAAATGTTTTGTTGCACAGTATATAAACAATATTCAGAAAACATTTGTATTTTGTAATAACAGCACCATCTAGATGTTATAAAATACTTTTTATAGTGGATTATCTAATCATTTTACTATTATTCTCTCTATTTTTACAAATAAGGAAAGTGAAGGATCAAGCTGCAAGTCAATTATGAATGTAGCCAGGATTCCAGCCTAATGCCTTGCCAGGTAGATCACATTGTCTTCCATTAAAGGTACAGATGGTTTGGTTCGTGGTAATGGTGTTGATTGATACCTCTAATCTACACCAAAGTTTCTAGTTCATTTCCATAAAATCATCTGTCTTTCTCCCTGTCCTAGATGACTACTGTCCGGTCAAAGGAGATTGAACTTGGGATATCCAAAAGTGAATGTTTGTGTTTCCACAGCCTGAGCTAAAAAAGCTGAAGTAGACAACTGTGAAATACTCGCATCATCTGTGGATCAGACATAGGGAAGCACAGTGGCCGGTAGTGAAAATTAAATCAATTTTCTCTAGGAGACACCTTTCAAGTGTCTTATGTCACAGTCATATGATGATGTAAATATGTTGGGAAACTGAAGCACAGACATAATTGATCTGATTTAGATTGACCACAACTTTATTAATATATAGAAACAACAAACAAATTTGGCAATAAACTGATTCATTTAGGGGGAATGCCCTCCCATTGGGTTATGAATAACACGAGATAAGGTTCTTTAGCCATATCTCATCCAACAAAACCACCATATGTGGTAAGTGACAGAACCCCTGAATACTACTTCCCTCACTTAAGTAAGGAGATATTCTAGCTACAATGCTCAGGTATATATGCCTTCTCATTTACACCCCGATCTTTGGGTATTTGTAGCTGGTATTTAAGTATGCATTCTAAGCATTTCTACATGGGATTCTTCCTGTTACAATTATGACAATAATACAGTATGCAAGATTCTGTTTCCCACTTTCTCACAAGGTTAAATTTCTCAAGGGTAGAAAAAACACAAGCTGAAAGGAAAATTCACATAATGGAAAAATGGGAAAGCTCTTTCCTCACCCTAAATAATTTTCTAAAGTGTTTTGGCTTTTAGCTGATAATTTAAGTGAAACAACAAAAATAGTGCTAGCAGTAGATGGAGAGATTTTGTGCCATTGAAAAATAACTGTGAGAGCCAGAAAGTCTCTCAGCGCATATGCACATGCATTTGCACGCGCACACACACACACACACACACACACACACACACACACACACACACACGAATAGACATAAAACCTCTAGGGCACTCATGTAACCAAATCAGGTTCCTTTGGGAGCAGGAAGAGATCCCACAATCTTTCAGTCCCTTCATGTATCAAAAACAATGGGAAAGAAGGATGAATGAACCAAGCCAGCTTCACTACAAATGTAGTAAGGACTGGTTTCTAACCTGCATCCTTTGGTGGGATGAGTTCTTAATTTGTGCCTTGTTTTTGCAAGTCATTGGGGGGGTGGGGGTGGGGGAATGAAAGAGCCATAACTCCATCATAGTTAAGGTATTTTCTGAATTTTTAATCACCTCCTTTCTAGAAATTGAGACAATTGATCTTTTCCTTTCTATTCAATATATTTTATTTAAAAGGTCCTTCGCATTTACAAAAGTGAGGAGTCCCCTGATTAAATATGTATATATCAGAAGCTAGAAATAAAGAATTCAAAAGGACATTCATGGGGTGACTTAATTGGCCTGAGCACTTCACAAGTATTTCTGTAGGGTATTCTAATTAATCTCTGGTACTAGAAAAGTTTGAAATTATTTCATAAAGACTTTTTTTCTACTAAACTTTCCCTTTATTTCTTTGTCTTTTTTTTTTCTTTTATATGACTAATAAAAGAGTCCAAATGAAATTTACAAAGGTTTCATTTGATATAATAAGTTATTGAAATTAAAGTATTTCAAGCTTAAGAGTTCTACCAAGTGAAAGATTGTAGGCAGACAAAACAGTTTGTATGTCATCAAGGAATAATTTCGAAGTGAAAGTTTGTATTTTTTAAACGACCTTTTTCTAATACTAAAGAATTTTGGAACTTAAGTGAAGGTCATTGAACTTCATCAGAGAACCTATGTGCTTTCTCCAAACTACATCAGGAAGAATCAGAGTTGAATATCATCTACAAGAATGAGAGACTTCATCAAAATATTTTATTGTTCTTCTCTAGGTTTTATACCACTTGCTGTTTCTCTTTTTCCAGAAGGTCTATGGAAGATTTGGGAAATCTTGATGCTCAGCAGCTGTTTTTCCAGATGCCATGGAAAGAACAAAGAAATAAATCTGACAACTATAGAATGAAAAAGAAAATACTGAAATTATTCCAGTTTAAGTTAACAATGGATTTGAGTGCTTCCCTCACTATCCTAATTTAAGACAAGCTCTGAAGTGTCTTATATCCACTGAAGTTGGTAGTGAGTGTGGCCAATTTTTCTTCAGGGCCCAATAAAACTTGTGATAATGGTATGTAAGTTTGAATAACAATAAAAATATGTTTATCTATGTATACATATAGAAGCTAAGAGATGGAAATACATAAATGTATCCATCCAAAATTTTTCTTCTGAAAAAAGTTTGGATGATTTTACCTTTATGTTGCAACTTATAATTGCCTTATAGAACTGGAACTATACAATTAGAATGAGTAAAATGAGATATATATGCAACACTATCATGTAGAAAATCTATACCAGTTCATGTGCCACATTATCACCATAGGGTACTGTCAGTGGTGTGAGTGAAGACAGAGCCAAAATATAAGCACAAATAAGAACATTTTTCATAGCTATTCTTGAGGAATTGTTAGCATTATGTCCCAATAACACCAGAAATAGAAACTGAATTTCATTTCTACTTCTATCTGCATTCCATAGTTCCCTGTCCCCGCAACCCCCAAATAACAGGTGGAAGGTTCCCAGGATATTTACCTAAGGACCTTGTATGAACCCTATTACTATGGTCTCTGAGAATGTAACCATGTTTCATACATAAATCCTAGGTACCATGCCACTTAATGGATGCCTTAATTGTGAACTGACCACTTAAATTTTTATATAACAATGTTAATAAAACTTACTTGGAAAAAAACAGCTTCAGGTCCTTTGATGTTTGGCTTACGTTTGGGCTCTAGCTGTTGAACTGCTTATGGGGTTTCAATTACAAAACCGATATAATCCTGGAATCACATTCCTTTTGTGAGGATCCCAATCCTGTCCATGTATATTAGGAATTTTCAGACCATGCCTATTGTATTGAGGCCCCCAGTAGACTTAGGAACAAACTAATTCCTGGATCCTAGGATCCAAAACCAAGAACACCCCAACCTCAATCAGAAAGCTCCAGTATGGTGATGATTCTGTAGTGTGTTCACACTTGGGAGCAGACCTTCAGGCAATTGTCAACATCTTTACCGAGGCATACAAGACAACGTACAGAAGACACTTCATTGTACTAGTCTGGAGAAGTACCATCAATGCTGCCTACAGAAGATCCTTCATATCCAGTTGGAAGAAAGATGTACCAGCATTATCATCCTCTTGCAAGCAAACACCATGAACATCAAGATGATGATCATCTGGCATCAACTTCACTGGATCGCCACATCATTCAGATTCCCGAAGCAAGTTTTATTCTCCCAACTCAGACAAAGTGCACAGTCAAAAGGAGGGCAGAGAAAGTGCTTCAAGGATGTCCTCAAGGCCAGCTTGAAAAAAGGCAACATCAACATCAACTCAGTGAGACTACAGCTCAGGGCTACCCTAATGGAGGCAAAGTAAGCTACAAGGATCTCAGTACTTTGAAACCTTACAACAAGAGGAGTTGGAAAATTAGGATCATCAGAAACAGTGTGTTGCATACCAAATCAAGAAGCCAGAGTCACCCACCTCATTTGTAACCACATGCCCAACTTGCAATACAGTCTTTCAATTCCGAATCAGCCTCATCATCCATCTTGGACCCACAGATAAAGCAATCATCCTCAACTGCGAGGAATTGTTGATGAATGATGAAATGAGAGATTTTGCATTGTGCAACATATAGGGTGCTTCAAATTGAGACGTTTATTGCAGAGCTGACTAATTAGATCTGCTGCCATCAGCTAGCCCCCATATTGAAACACCCTTTGGCCTCAGCCATCCCCTCTGCAGCACATTGAGCTGGGTTGGAGCAAGCCCAGGCTGACAGGCTGACCCCCCTGGGGTCCCTTGCCAGTCGGGGCTGCTCCACCCTGGATAAACATGCTGCAGTCCTGGGAACACGTGCAAACGGTGTGCCCAGGGGCAATAAACTGGCACAAAGTGCACTGGATTTATTCAGCCACATTAATTGCACATGTAGATTCACCAACAGACAACCTTTTTTAATGCACTTATATAAGGCAATATTAAAGCAAATCTTTTACTAAAATTGTTCTCAGTATGTATCCTTTTTGTGCACTAATGTTGCAAGTGTGGAAGGGGAACGCGCTTGCCAATCATTGTTTAGTGAACTACGTCCTAGACAGTGTGATTGTGTTTCATGGGTTGAAAGCCCATTGGCTTTTAAGTTTAAAAGATAAAATGGGATTGATAATTGTATAAATGAGAATATCATCTTCCATTGCAATAGCTAACATAAAAATATAAATAGAAGCTTATATTTCAGGCTGTAGCCAATTAGTAATGAAGGTCTTTTATATAACACTAAAGTATGATCAATTATAACCTTGCACTAATGCTTTCAGGAAGATTCTGAAGTATCTGCCACTGGCCACACTCAGAGACAGTATTCTGGATAGGATGAGCCATTATTTTGTTCCACTTTGACAATTCTTATGTGCCTAAGTTTTTACAGTCAGTTTCGACATAGCTCTTCATTAAATATATGCAGCACTTTTAAGTCAAGCAGACCTAGAAAACTATAGTCCAAAGTTTATCTCAATAGTCTTATGCTTCCCTAGCTGCATACTAAAGCTATTGTGGTTCTCAAAGGTGTTTTTGTGCTTCAGCTGTTGTGTGCAACAATGGTGACATTTTCAAAGGTTTAATTAAAGAATACTTATCATAGCAGAATGCCACAGGAGTGTTGGACGACAAAACCCTAGTGTTGTAAAATTAATTATATCACTAGTGTGTACCAAATGCATGTAGAAAGTTTGAACCCAAAGAAACAACTCATTAATCTTCAGCCAGCTGTACTGTGGTGGGTGAGTCATTTGTGCATTCACAACAAGTCATCTGGAGGTAAACTCTAAGGGCTTTATCATTATTTTTTTACAGTATAAGAAAGCTCACTTTATGTTGCAAAAATGCCTTGTATACAAATACCATGAAATGTTAACAAATGCAGAACCTCTATATTCTGAAGTCCTGAAAAAATGGCTTTTTAAAGAACATGCTATTTTTTCCATTTTTCTGTTTAAAAATAAATACATAAAAATCAGCTTCCAACACAGCAGAAGGAAAGAGATATGCTGTTTGTTTGTGGGCATTACTGATAAAAACTAAAAATCTTACATGCACAGTTTATATTAGCTGATTGACTTATAGATTAAATGATTTATATGGTACTTCCTGGAAAATGGCCAAGTAACTTTTTGGGTCAGTCTTTGAATGCAAAGAGGTAATATCAAAGAGGCAATAGGTCTAGGAACAGTCTGTGAATGCAAAGAGGTAATAGGTCTAGGAAGTTTCTAGAGAATGCCATGCAATTAGTAATGAACTGATTTTTCTTAATTTGATTATTATTGTAATTTGTAGCATATTCTCCATGGATAATGGGTAATAAATTAGGAAGATCTGAAAACTGTGGAAGCTTGGTGCTTTTTATTTTTAATGAATTATTTATGCCTTTCAGAAATACATTATGGTAAATGCCCTTGACCACTACATATACCAATGTTTATTTCAACATTAATAATTACAAAAGGTAAAAATAGTTAGAATAGTGAATAATCAAGTGAATCATGGAAATTTGGTTTCTTTGGGACTTCTGTTTACTCCAGAAGAGGCAGGACTTTTGATATAGATGAGAGAGGACCTAGTTACATGGTAATTTTGGGCAGCTCCTGGAACTCTTAACTCTTGGATTGTCCACATATTAATACTAGAAACTAGTTTTAAGTACTCATTATATAGCTCAAAATTATACCAAATGCAGGATTATCTCTGATCTGTGCTACCCAGATTGTGTTGCACTAAGATGCGGCCACTCTAGGCTACACCTTAGTGTAAACATCTCACCTCCTCCCCTTGACCTCACTGGCCTGGTTTTGGCCCATTGCTCCCCCTCCACACTCTCCAGCATCCCAAATCCCTGCTCACTGACTCCCACTACTTACTTATGGCTATGTGCAGTGTCTGTCCTGGGAAGCAGGCAGGGAAGGGTTAAACTAATGGCTTGGCCACCACCACTGTTGGGACACATTTCCCTGCCTACTCTTTGGGACAGACAGCATAGGCAACCACAAGTAGGTAATGTCCTGGGGCTGAAGGGAGGCAGGAGGGAACCGTGAGGGGGGGGGGGGGGGGCCCGCGGGGGGGGGGGGGTGCACCAGGCGGCAGTGGTCAGTGGGGAAGATGGGGATTCTTACCTTTCAGTCCTCCAGGCCCCTTCTGACCTGAAGTGTGACTGTTCCAAACTTTAGCTAACACTAACACCCATCAACATGTGTGCAGTCCACAGTGTAAGATGTAACAAGGCCCATAGTGAGCACATTACACAGAGGAGTAAAGCCTGTCTTGGGAGCCTATCGGATTATTCTTATATAAGTAGTATTTTAATAATACCTTGGGTCCCAACCACTTGCATTTGACTCTAGGCATTACAGAAATATGTAGTACAACACAGCCCATTTAGAAATTGCTTAGAGTTAGAGCCAAGAAGTTACCTAGACACACATGTTCAGGTGAGCCACAAAAATCTGGCCTTGCCATTGAGGGACATATAATTCTGCTACTGCGTATGCTCAGAGGCATACACTTTTAGATGACCTGAGCATCACAGTGTTACTTTAATGCTTAAAGACCTTTGGGACTCACACACTAGGCATCCCTATGTCCAAGGTCGTGTGTAGACCAAATGGGGGCCTTAAATTGAAGTGGTGGGTTTTTAAAAATACTGCTTCAATTTAGGGCTGATTTTACCCCCATGTTGTGCACACACCCCGCTGACTTACCTGCCTCTTTGGTGGCAGGGAGGGGGAGGGCAAGCTGCTGGTGGGTGGAGCCATCCCTGGGCTGCAGGGGCAGGGGAGCTGGTGCTTTCTTCCATGGCAGCGGTGGCGCCCCCAGACAGCACCCATCCACAGGCACCCAGCTTGGGCAGTGCCAGGGGCACCACTGCCAGAGAGGGAAGCACTGGGCTCCACACAGCTCAGGCAGGCAAGCAGGCTCTAAGTGCTGGAGGGGGAAATCATGCTTGCTGCTTTTCTTGGGCAGAGCCTGCCTTCCTGGGCTGCATCTAGGCTGCCTTCAGGGCTTTCTGCAGAGCCACAAAGCTGCATGGAGCCTGGTGCTTCACTCCGTGGTTGTAGGGGCAGCAAAGTAAAACTCCTCCGAGTCCCCAAGTTATTTAAGATGCGTTACACCGCTGAAATTCCTACAGTGGCTGGAATTAATGCACAATACACTGCTGAGCCGTGCAAACATCAACACCATTAAAGAGGTGCAAAAGCATTAGCCCACTTTAAAAGTGTTGTGCACACATGCCCCTCATTTTGTCTACACACGGTCTAAGTCTTTTGAGGCATATGATTTGCTAGGAGTGCTCAGAGAATGCCTAACATTCACTGACAGGATGGAGTTCAGTAAAAAAATCACAGCAGCTGCAGCCTCTTTCTATTAAGCAAAGAAGTGGAGGAGTAAATGCTGCCACAATCTAGGTTAATTGAATTGCTTTGAATCATTGGTGATTCTTTGGGCAAAGTGACTTGGTGGTGCCCATCTCCTCTCCTGTGCTAAGTACAGATATTCAGAAAGCCCAAGCCTGAACTGATTGAATCTTTGCAGGATAGTATAACCTGCATAAATTAAATCAATTTGAAAGGGAATTGACATTCACTTTTGATT